AATATTATAAAGTATAAGGGTTGAATTTTAACTTTTAAAATTCTAAGGGCTAACTTGGAATTAAAGTATTCATAAGTGAAAACTTTTCAAATTCCAAAACTTGAGGGCAAGTTTTGAAACTATTCAAAACTAATTAATTCCATAACTTATGAGTTTAAAGTAGTTTTAATTAAAAAAAAAAAGAAAAACTCTTCAAGTTCCATAACTTGAGGACAAGTTATGGAAGACTTTAAACTAATTAATAAAAAAATAAGTTTTTTTTTATTGTAACTTATGGAACTAATTAAGGTTACACTTTTTTTTTTAATGAAGAGACTCTTGAACCTCCATAACTTGAGGACAAGTTATGGAGTCATAAAACCATTTAATTAGAACTAGACTCTTCATTTTGTAACCTTTGCCAACTTTTATGAGTTTTATGATTCTTAAATGTGACTTTTCATATAACTTGAGGACAAGTTACAAAAACACACTTTGGAATCAACTCTTAGATTAAAATGGATTGAAAAAAACTATTTCACACAACTTTTCTATTAATCTAAGAACCTCATAAGAACAAGATAATTCAAATCATCAATCTTCAAGAAATTAGCATGAACATACAAACTAATACAAATCTTGAAATTATGACAATTATCTTAGAAATTGGATTAGCATGAACATTACCACATCAAAAACAAGTTTATAAGTCCAAAAACATCTTAGGGTAATGTTCCTAGTCCAATTCCAGCCAAAACAATCGAATATATGCATCCAACTCCATTTTTCATCTACTTTTGCAAGTATAACAAGAAAACAAGCCTAGGCTCTGATACCACTGTTGTGTTATGAGCATTCTAACACTCCTAAGTGTACATGCAACCCTAAATACCTTGGATCTATGTTTTCTCTATTATACATACAATTATGAACATCCAAGGTATTATCCTAATCTAGCATACAAAATAATAAATATAACAAGATAGAATACATACCTCTTTGATGTAGAATGTCTTCATGAAGCTTGAGTGCCTAGTGCCCCAAGTGTGACACCTCAAATGGTTCACACAACACCAAATACACTTGGAATAACTTGAGAGAAACTTGAACACTCCTTGAAATCGTCTAGCCCTCACACTCACACATTAGTGCACGATTTCTTGAGCCATGGGATTCTTTTATATGGTGGCTATTAGGGTTACACCATGTAACTCATAACTTTACCCATTCCTTATGCTCCATGGATTTTAACCTCCATGGAGTATCTATGGGTCACCCCCATGGACTTAGTCCAACATAAGGAATCTTGGATCACAAGCCCACATATATAAGAATGAATGATTTACACAATCAACCCATATATTTAATTAGTCTCCTTTTGATCACTTAATTAATTCCAAATTAATTCTTGATCAATACTAATTAAATAACCTTATTAATATATTAGAACTTATAATATATTAACCAACCTTAAGTGTTATTTCTCTCATTATAGTCTATCCAAATGCATGATGCCATGCAACCCAAATGGACCATGCCGGGTCGGGTCAAGTCTTACCAATTATAGTTATGGACTTAGACATTAATCCAACACCATTAACGGTTACTGAACTACTGAATCCTGACAATGTTGAATAACCATCCTGTGGCACCCTGTCCATAGACCTCCCACATAATACCCTTCTTCCCGAAGTGCTCCAACAAATCTCCCGCCCTCGGCTCTAGAAATAATATCATTCAGGGTCTCGCACCGTGACTTACTCACCAGCTCGATCATCCATATCTGAACCGCAATAGCTGAAGCAACCTCTGCCCTATGTCGGGCTACAAACTACTCCTAAGACATAGTCTCCAATCCCTAAAAAGTACAATAGATCGTGTAATCAATCCTTACTGCCCGATACAAGAGATCCAAGGCGAACCGGACCTCACAAAATACTCATGCCACATCGACTCACGCGCGCTCACCAGCACTGAAATACTGTCGCCAATCCTGGCGACCAACTGACCCGAGCTGGAACACAACCTGATCCTAGGGTCGCAAGTCTGCCCACTCCTTCGAGCTCGAAAAACTGGAAGGGCATAATCCTTACCCTATAAAACGATATTCCAATCCACCAATTAACCATTCTACTTCCAGCTGCGAAACCCCAGATGAACATAATCATCACTCCCTTCCGGAGTCCTTGCGACTCACTTCCGGCCTCGAGCAAAACCCCCAAAGCCTCAACTCTAGAAACTCATGTACTAAACTCTCTCGCTCAACCCGCGGAATGTAACGAGTACAGAATATCTCCCTGGTCCCAAGTAACTGCAGCCCTCTGCTCATCAGAATATCTACCAGTAATGAGTCCCGGTACTGGAAAGCTCGACCAGCTCCTCCCCCTGCCGTCGTTTACAGCTGCTAAAGCTGCTGCGGCAGCCGTCTCAGCAATGGCTGCATAGCGCTCGTCAGAATACTCAACCATGGCGGTCCTGATAGACCTAATCATCTCCGGAATCTGTCCCAGAACAATTTCGATCACCTCCTCCCGGATGATCTCCCTGACACGATCCTCTGACAATACTGGCCTATCCTGGCTGCCAGCTCCCGATCCTGACCCGGATCCGGTCTCAAAACGTCTCGTAACCATCATTCTGAGAATACACCAGAAAGATCTCGTGTAGTCCATATAATAATCGGGAACAAACTCCCAACTAAACCCCAGGGGTTGTGACTTCCTTGCTACGCGTATGGGTCATGTGCTTTCAGTAGTACGGGCCCATACTACCTTCCACACCTATCCATATTTCTCTCAAGTATCACCACAACACCCTAAAAATGTACATAAACATAGCGAGCGCTCAATCCTCACTCCTAGAGGAATGCTAAATATCTCATAACTGGCCTCCCGGCCTCACACAACCCACCCATCCATGAAACTTCCACCAACCCTGCAGCACTAATGTATTCTAGCCATACATAATGCTGGACCCCATAGACTTTCGAATATCCAATCCTACCCTAAGCTCCCAATCAAACAAGAACAGAACATAAGGGCAAATCAAACATTCGCAGGCTATAAGATCTTAATTATGTACGGCCGTGATGCATACACTAAGCAACTACAGTAATGATGTCAATTACATATAAGGAAAAACCCTAGGCTATCAGGCATCATATAATCAGGCAATTTTATCATGCAATTCCTGAAGATCCCAAGCCTAGTACTAGCATGTTGTTCTAATCATATCTCATAATCAAATAATCCATATGGTATTTTGGGGTTAATTTACTGGCTCCGGCTGATCGTACACTCTGCATCCTCCTTTACTTATTTTGAAAACCCTTTTAAAAATTATTTTGAAAACCCTTTTAAAAATTATTTTGAAAACCTTTCCTTGATTTGAGACTGGATTTACACGGATGTCCCTCCAATTCACTCAAACCAAGGCTCTGATACCAACTTGTAACACCCAAAAAAAAATTCAAGCCAATTTAAAACTTTTTAAAACCATTAAGTTATTACAGTTTACTTTCAAAATAATTTAAACATCAGAGTATCCCCAGAATAAATCATGAAAATGTAAGGAGGTGCACGATCACGCCTTCGCCTTCCCGCGATCATCAGAATGCCTGAAACAATAACCAATAAATGTAAGCTCAGGCTTAGTGAGTTTCCCCCAAAATACCAACCTCATATAACCATACTCATCATATCAGCAAATACAAAACATCATGCATAATGAGCCTTCAGCCTGACTGGACCGCCTCGCAGGCCTTCAGTCTATCTGGACCGTTCTCCGAGCCTTCGGCACGTCTGGACCGCCTCGCAGGGCCTTCAGCCTATCTGGACTGCTCGCCGGGCCTTCGGTCTGACTATCATACCCTCCTGGGTCTGTAGTCTATCCGGACCACCCTGGGTATGTTGGCCTTCAGCACAAAGCAGGACCGCCTCAACCCAAACCCCCAATCAAACAAACATGTGCACATACATATCATACGCTAGCATATATAACAGTCAACCGATCTAACATATCAAATAGCATAACAACATCCTATAACCAGGATACCGACCTAACCGGTCACTAATATAGCATCATCCTATGCCCAGGATACCGACCTAACTAGGTCACTAACATATGTACAAATAATTATACGGATCTAACAGATCACATAGCATAGCAACATCCTATAACCAGGATACCGACCTAACCAGGTCACTAACATGTATACAGATAATCATACGTATCTAACAGATTACATAGCATAGCAACATCCTAAAACCAGGATGCAATCATAAAGGGTCGGCCTTGGTGCCGTAGACCCTGTTGATATAGTGAGGAGAACTCACCTGACACTGCTGAATTCCCGCAGGTACACTCCAGCTATTGATTGACAGATTCGCGAACTGTCAACATCAAACAATACCCAATTAATAATTGAGTTCCAAGCCCAAAGTCCAACTCACACTCCAAAGGCCCAAAAGTCAAGTAATGGGCCAAAGCCCAATATATGGCCCAATTTTCCAAATTAGGCCCAGACCTCTACATGGTCTTTCCTTAAAGGCCCATCCAATTATTCCAGTCTAAACTATTTGGCTCAATATCACATAATCATAAAGGCCCAGACTATGGCCCATTTATGGCCCAATTTTCCAAATTGGGCCCACATCCTCATATGGGCCTTACCCTTAACCCATCGATATATTTTAGTCCATATGATTATTCTTGGATGGCCCATTAATTTCCAATTACCAAAGCCCAATGGAAAAGGCCCAACTCAAGGCCCAAATGAAATTAGGGTTTTCACATGAAATGACAATTAGGGTTAAGTGTTCCCACTTAACCCATTAAGGACTTAATCCATTAAGGACTTAGTCCATTAAGTCCGTTATTGCCTTAAGTTAGTTTGCCAATGACTATTATTTAATATTTCAAGTTATTAAATAATCTCGTGTGTGTACCGATTAATTCTCAAGAATTAGGGTTTTATGCTATTAGGGTTTTCCAACCCAATACTAGCCCATTAGTCCATTGATTGGGCTTTTAGGTCACATTGGGCCTTATTGGACCCATTAGGGTTTTATTAGGTCAATTATGGTTTCCTTGGGCCCATTAGGGCTTCATTGGGCCCACTTTGGCCAAGCATTCCCCAAACGAGTCAAACACAACAAGCCAAGCACACCGCCACCCGACACGGCGGCCGGTGGTGGTTTTGACTTTCTTTCCATTATTCCATTTGTACAATTTACAATACCATCCAAAAACACACACATACTAATAATACACGCACACACTAATACACACACAACCACTAAAACACACCCACCTATGGTGGTGCATGGCGGCATCGGGGGTTTTCCTCGAATCTCCGGCCAAGGAACGATCTCACAGCCCTTACACGTGAAACACACGCACACAAACACTCCTCCGCTTGCGAGATAAGCTCGGCCACCACCTGGTCGCGTGTAATGATGGCAGCAACAGCCCAAATGGCCACAACCATGATTATCGGCGGTGGCGGATAGCCACAACGAAACCCAACAGCAGCAGGTTCGACCTGCCCTTCATACGACCACAGCTCCGGTTCAACCTCTCGTCTACGGTCTCCGACGTCCCACAGGGAGCTCCTTGCTGCCCAAAACATGTTTCCCACAACATCCGACAGCGGCGGTATAGGACTGAAGAGGGTGACAGCAGCAGCAACGACTAACGAAAATAGGAGAAGAAAGATGGTGGCAGGCGGTGCTCACGGTGTCCTCTTAATTTCGCCGGAAGGAAAAAAGCCGCATAATTGGAGATGGTGGCAACCGGAGCACCACAAGAAAACAGCCACTCGAGCTGTGATGGCGACGGGCACGGCTGGGGCGTATCTTCGCTGAAACAGAAGGAGAATGGCAACCGGGAGTGACAACAGCAGCAACCCCATCGACGACCTTGGTTGAACGGAACTAGGGTGGTGGCGGCTGGAAGCACAACAGGAAGGTGGCGGCTGCGAGAATTAGGTTTAGGGTTAAGGGGGGATTGCATGCGGTTAAAGAATATATATATATATATATATATATATCTATATATATATATAATATATATATATATATATATATATATATATATATATATATATATATGGGGCTAACAGGGCGACGGGGAAGGGAGTCGGGTTTAAGTCCCGCTCCATACAACTTATACACATTTTACATATCTGGTCCCTCCCCATGAAATCTTTTTCAAATTAAGGATATTATTTACAAAACAGCCCCCAACATCCAAAATTTATAACAATTCAAGCCCCAAAGGTTACCATATAGCCCCTCCATGACAATTTCTTTTCAACTTAGGTACATAATTTACCCATTTAACCCCATCCATCCAAAATCTTTTCATATTAAATCCAAATGATACCAAACACCCCTTGACTTATGAAAATCTTTACAAATTAAGTCCCAAAATTACACTTTAACCCCAAGAGATATAAATCTTGTCATTTGGCTTCCCGAACCAACTCCCAACTAATTATTAGTTGGTTTTGGACAATAATAATATAAAATCATAATAAAATTACTTCTCGGGGTTCCGGTTTTGTCATTAATTATCCCATTTTAAACAGGCTGTTACAATCAGAGCTAGGGCACGGGTCGATGTGTTCGACGGGGATGTCGAACCCTAAAATAGGGGGTGAAGGTGGGTTGCACCTGATCCTACATCGGTTGGGAAAGAGAACTAAGCATTCCTTATAAGGGGTGTGGACACCTTCCTTATCACAACATGTTTTAAAGCCGTGAGGGCAGCAGATCGCATAAGAACTCTACAGTTAAGCGTGCCCGGGCGAGAGCAATCCAGGGATGGATGACCCCCTGGAAGTTTTCGCACTGGGGGCCCAAAGCGGACAATATTGTGATACGTGCAAGAGGGGGATGTTACATGTTTGATCTTGAAGTAGACTTTGGAACTGTTGAGGTATCTAAACTCTTAAGATAATAGTTCCACGTACTATGAAACTAGAATAAGACGCACGTTATGTACATCTAGGTCTTTCGAGAAAGGTGTAAGGCGAAGCTTTTCCCGATTCACCAATTACCAGACACTTTGTCAAGTGAATGCGTAGTTATTATCAAGAACACAATCTTAACTTAAAGATATCCATATAATAAATGTTGCTTGTATTATCTGTGTTATGTGCTATTTGTAAAGATAAGATAGTAACATATGGATTAGGAATTGTTGTAGAAATTAATTGCCTTTAGATATAGGTCTTGCCTTAGATTAGGAATAAGACTTATAAAGGATTGCTTAGTCTCGAATAGGCTTGACATCGATTAGATCTCATAGTTGGGTTAGAGTATGGGACCAGATCGAAGTGTAATCCTCCCTGTCTTAGGATGAACAGAAATGGTGGGTCCCGATTAGACAACCGTACGGTATGTCTGGGTCATTGACCAGAGTGGATGACCAACACTTGGCTGTTCTAGGCTGTTTTGTGAATTATGTTGCTAGCATGGCTTTATAACCCATGGACGTAGATGAAATGGAAAGCCATATTCATCAAAATCTTTGAACATTGGTTGTCGTATATGACTTACACTAGCCAAGGACTACCCTAGCAAGTGTAGTCAAATGGTTGCTTAGACAGTTCATCTGGTAAGGTGATTCTTCCAGATGATTGTCAAATTAGGATCTGTGAGGATCAGTTGGGATTGGGTAGATGGTCTTAGGACATGTTATATATTTACACCTGGTATATGTCTTGCAGGAATGATATCTTATCATTAAAATGTTATGGGCTTGAAAACCCTATGTATCTCACCAGGTTTCCCAAACCTGACCCACTCATTTTATTGCATCACCGGTAGTGGAGCCAAAGTTGAAATTGCCTAGTTAGGATGTCGAGTGAAATAAAGGATAGGCTTGCATTAGTTATTTCAAGACCTTTTTATTTACACTGTAATGTATGTTCAGATATAAACGAATGACACCCCATAGGTTTTAATAAAATAACTTTTGTTATTTCAAAGATGTTTATTTAACTGGGAACTTCCGTATTTTAATACTCAAAAGCGTAAAGAAAATTTTTAATTTGGTTTTGAAAAATGGGGGATGTCACATATGTACATATGAATACACTTGGAATGGGTTATTATTTTTGTGGCCACCATGGCTTAGGTACCCAAAACATTGTTAGATTACACAACTAAAGGGTTGTTACAACATTCTTGAACATCCTTAAGTGTGTGTGTGTGTATATATATATATATATATATATATATATATATATATATATATTGTGTGTGTGTGTGTGTGTGTGTGTATGAAAGTTCTACCCTACATGTGCTCTAGTGTGACGATTTACTAGTACCTAGTTTCTTAGAACAAGCAATGGGTTATATGTTCTACTTATATAAGAGCTTGGGTTTGAATGAGCAATGGTGTATAGTATGATATGTTCCCTTTATACAAGAGCGTAGGTTTTACCCATTATTGTGAGATATAGTCTTTGAGATTGACTTCGGATATGAGAGTAGAAAAATGTTGCATTTGTATTTTTTTGAAATTGTTGACTTATTATTGGTGAGTTTGATGTTATTTCACAAATTCCTATCTCTGAAATATTTTCTCCAACATTGAACCATAACAAATGTTTTGATGTTTGTAAACATTTTGTCTATATTATTAACTTTATCATATACCTTTAAAGAGTTAACCTGGTAATGTTCGTTAGGCTTTCCAAACCTAACATATATATTTTGACACATATTTAGACTAGATGACTAAAGAAGAATAAAGGTAACAGAAGCATGAACTATTAGAAGATCATTTGATTATGTAAAGACTATATACTAAATTTTTTCTTTGTATGGGTTGATTCATCATCATTATAAAAAAACTTATGTGAAACTTAAAGCTTTGGGACTTAATTCCACAAATTAAACTCTTTTGATATTAAAAATGCTATTTTGAAAGAGTTATTTAAAATATCTTATGTGATAGATATTTCAAGTAGTCACCGACCTCTTTGACTTTTTCAGAATTTTTTCTACCTACATAGTCCTATATGTTATATACTTATATATTACCATTTGTTATTTTGGATAGATAACTCATGATGAAAAGCTGTGAAATTTTTTCATATGTCAACATGTTTTAGGTTCGATCCGGTCCAAATGCATCCAAGAACCGGGAACTGGACCTGGACCTAGACGTGATTAGCCTTAATAGGTCTGATCCAAGGTCCATCAATTTCTATAAGGGATAATGACTTAGGAGGGTAATAACGTTTCCTGTTTGTCCATTTTAGGTCTTTAACGTATTTTTTGTGCGTATTACACCATTAAGGTTATTATAACCGTTTACAAATAGTCCTTTTAACAAGAAGAAACCGGTAAAAGGGATTATTTCTAAACAGTTATAACAACCTTAATGGTGTAATACACACAAAAAATACGTTAGGGACCTAATATGGACAAACGGGAAACGTTATTGCCCTCCTAAGTCATTATCCCCGTATGAAACTATAAACCCCTATAGTAAATTTTTACTTTTTAAATAAGAAACTTATAGGTCTTGGGGTTGGTAGTTTGGATGCTTTTAACCTCGGCCTTCTTTATAAATGGAAGTGGCGGTTTCTTAATGACAAGGGAGCTCTTTGGGTTAAAATTGTCAAATTTTGTCATGGGGAAGGTGGTGGTTTTTCGGACGATTCGAGAATAGGAACTGGAGGGGGTGTTTGGCAAAAGATTGTAGGATCCAATAATCATCTCCATGAGAATGGTTGTATTCCTTCTAATTCCATGTATATAGTGGTGGGGGATGGGAATCAAACGAGGTTCTAGAAGGATGTTTGGTGCTTGGATATTTCTCTTAGGGAGCGGTTCGGGAGGCTCTTTGCTTTGGCCTTTAATCAAGATTCTCGAGTAAGTGAATAATGGGATTCGGGGGGATGAAATTTTCATTGGCGTCGGGGGATTAGAGGAGGGGCTGAATCGACCCAATTTGATTATCCTGTGGAGATATTAAATCCTATTCGCATACTGGAAATGTCGGATAAGTGGTCTTGGGAGCTTGAATCGTCGGGTATCTTTACTGTAACGCCCCGATTCTCGAATACCAATTTATGGCTATAAATTCTCATGAATTCAAGATCTACTCGACGAGTTGGTTTCCTGACTCGTCGAGTAGCAGCGGGTTTGGGCCACGTGTTTAAGTGACCAACTCGCCGAGTCGGAAGAGTGACTCGACGAGTTGGAGCTGGAGGGTGAAACCCTAATTTCCGGGGTTTGGCACTCTATTTAAGGGATCATTAGCCTCCCTTAGTCCCCTTTGCAGCCTCTTGAGAGTCCAGAAACCCTAATTCGTGTGTGTGCTCCATATTAGTGTAGATTTCAAGCTTGGAAAAAAGACCTTGATGCAAGAAGCTTGAAGATCAAGAAGTTAGAGGCAAGAGCGTTTGTGGGTCTGAAGTCTATCTCAGCTAGCTTCATTTGAGGTATCAATTCATGATCTTGGCCGCATTCCTTTCTAGATCTCTTTGGATGAAGTTTAGGGCTTCTTGGCTTGGTTATGAAGTTATTCTTGGGTATGAGCTCAGATATGAAGTTGTGACTTCAGATCTGAACTCTCTTTGATTTGTAAGTCCATAAAGCTATCAGCTTTGGCAAGTATGAACCCCTCCTTAAGTGTAAAACCCCATTTCAAGCTTGGATTTGGCATTATGAGTCATTAGAGCCTTGCATGCACGTAAAGTTTGCAACTTTACGTGATAAGCATGCCTTGGGAAGTTGGATCTGCAGTATGGAGCCTTAGCATGGCTTAAAAAGCATCTGTATGGATGAAGGACTGAAGGGACTCGGCGAGTCGCATGGTAGACTCGGCGAGTCATATGAAGATGGTCATGAACTCGACGGGTTGGATGAACAACCCGGCGAGTCCGATGAAGATTGCCTTGGGCTCGGCGAGTGGCATGGTGACTCGGCGAGTTGGCAAGTTATGCAAGGAACTCGGCGAGTAGCTGAGGGTACTCGACGAGTTGAGGTCAACATGGACTGTTGACCTTGATAGTTGACTTTGACTTTGACCAAGGGTTGACCGTTTTGACTTTTGAGGATAATTGGTAAGCGGGTATTTATGATTTTGATCATTGATGGTTATAGGTGTTGGAGTTTGGGGCAGTGTTTCGGGAGCGTGATTTCGTGGTTCAGTCCGGCATTGCAAGGTGAGTTATCCTCACTATATTAACAGGGTCTATGACACCAAGGCCGACCCTTTATCGAATTTGTATCCGGGTAATTGCATGATATGTTTACTGATCTGTTAGATCTGCGTCCTGGTAGTTAGGACGATATTATGTTTAGTGACCTGTTAGGTCGGTATCCTGGTTATAGGATGTTGCTATGCTATATGATCTGTTAGATCGGTTTGTTTGTCTATAGCCTGTTATGTGATTATCTGTTATATATGCACATGGTTGTTGATTGGGGGTTGCGTTGAGGTGGGTCCTGCTTCGTGTTGTAGGCCAACATACCCAGGGTGGACCGGATAGACTGCAGACCCGGGAGGGCACATAGTCAGGCCGAAGGCCCGGCGAGCGGTCCGGATAGGCTGAAGGCCCCGAGAGGGCGGTCCAGACGTGCCGAAGCTCGGAGAGTGGGCCAGATAGACTGAAGGCCCGATGCGGGCGGTCCAGTCATACTGTAGACTCGGAGAGTGGACCAGGTGGACTGAAGGCCCGGTGCGGGCGGACCAGTCACACTATAGACTCGAGATGCATGTTTGTTGAGTATTTGTTGATATGAGATGATTATGGTTATATGAGGTTGGTATTTTGGGGGTAACTCACTAAGCTTTCAGGCTTACAGTTTCAGTTTATTGTTTCAGGTTCAGCGGATGGCCGCGGGTAGGCGAAGGCGTGACCGTACACTTCCTCAATTGACGATTATGATTTCTGGGAACTCTGATGTATAAACTATTTTGAAAACAAATTGTAATAATTGAATGGTTTCAAATGATTTAAAAAGTTTTAAATTTGCTCGAATTTTATGGGTGTTACATTTACTGTTAAAACAGCACGAAATTGGGTTAATGATATGACGCTTCCCATGGGTAGTATGCCTACTAGGTGGAACCGTTTTGTCCCTATTAAAATTAACATTTTTTATGGTGTGTGCTTTTGGATCGCATTCCGGTAAGAGCTAAACTGGTGGAAAGGGGGGGTGGTGATAGATTCCTTACTATGTCCTGTGTGTCACAATTCTCAAGAAAGTGTGAAGCATTTGTTGCTGTAGTTTTCGGTTGTTGATCAGGTTTGGAGTCGGGTTGGGCATTGGCTTCATTTGGACCTTCCTGTGTTTTCATCTATCCGTGATGTGGTTACAAAATCCAATCCGGCCTTAATTTGTTCTTCTCTCTAGCTCCTTGCTAGAGGTTAACAGGATGATGTGGTTACAAAATCCAATCCAATCCAATCTAAACCTTTCTATTTTTTATTCTTTTTAATTTCAACAACTTTATATGAAATACACATATAAAATAAATACTAAAAATCTTAAAAATATATATTCAAATTAATAAATACTAAAAATCTTAAGAGGGTAATAACGTTTCCTGTTTGTCCATTTTAGGTCCCTACGTATTTTTTGTGCGTATTACACCATTAAGGTTATTCTAACCGTTTACAAATAGTCATTTTAACAGGAAGAAACCGGTAAAAGGGATTATTTCTAAACGATTATAGCAACCTTAATGGTGTAATACACACAAAAAATACGTTAGGGACCTAATATGGACAAACGGAAAACATTATTACCCTCCTAAGTCATTATCCCTTTCTATAAAACCGAACCGGTCTAAATGTTCACCTCTATATGAAAATTGCAAATCACAAAAATGAGTAAACGTGTAGTTGAAGGACTAAAAAGAAGAAGTATATAGCTGAAGGATTGTTTTTGTAACCTCATTCGAATAGTGATATTTAAGATTCTCTCCGCGTGAGCTTCCATAAATCCATTTTACATTTACACAGTACGGAGAAAAAGCAAAGAAGTCATGGCGAATTGAAGAATTCAAACGGCAAACGGTGAAGAAGCCAAAGGCGAAAGCAAGCCTTCCAATCGACTTCTTTTCTGAGTTCTCCTCAAGGTAATTTCCAATTCATTTTGGTGCATCACTATGATAAAAGAAAGAGAAAATTACTCGAGTGATGGTGTTAATGGAGGTCAAAACTCTGAATCGAAGCTAACAGATTTGACATCTGATGAAAATCGAGGGAATCTGGATGAAAAAACTGGGTTTTCCGATAAGAATAATGGTTTTTCTAGAAGTTCAGAGTCAAAACCCTCGAAATTGGGGATTTCTCAAGAGTTGACTTTGAGCTATCTATGTGATAATTCGACATTAGCTCAGAATCCGTCTGATAATGGTAGAAGTTTACTGAATTCCTTTGATAAAGTTAAAGGGAAATTAGTCGTTTCTGAGGATCATAATAATCCTAATCCGGATGAGAATAGATGGGTAGAGAGAGATTTTTTGCAATTGTCAGAAAATTCTTCAAAAAGAGAAGCTGACGATGATGAAATGTATCAAATGAATAGAGATAAAAAGCCGAAATTGGAAACCCTAGATCTATCTCTAGCTTTACCTGATACTTCCATGTCCTTAGCTGCATCAAATCGTCTTCAAGATGGTGATCCTTCAGTGAGTTTGAAGCCAAGTAGGAGCTTTCAATCGTTGGGTATTTCAAACAGTAACAACACTCAAACCACATTCTCAAACGATTTCACAACTGGTTCCATGTCATATTCATATTCACAACAGTTCTCACATAACCCTAGTTGCTCCATGACTCGAAATTCAACCGACAATTATGACTACTCGATGGGTAGCCATAGAAGAGAGTGTGATCAGATCTGGAATGGTGGAGAGGGGACCAATGGATCTGTTCACAGCCGGTTTAGGCCTGTAGGTGATGGAGGTGTTGCCTTGGTGCAAAGTAATCCCTCCAACTCTAACACCAACTTGTCCTTTTTTCCATCTGAACTGCCTGCAAGAATGAAGATGGACACACAGTCTGGCGATTCAAGGGGGAGAGGCTCTGAAAACACAAAAGGGATGGAAGGTTTGGATTTCGGAAGATCACGCAAACCTTCAAGACCCGAGAGGATTCTTAGAGAAATCGTATCCGAGTCTATTCAAACAATGGCTCAGATAACTCAAGAACTCCCAGATGAAACACTCGAATCAACAAAAGATTACTTAAAGAAACTCATCTCAATTCCCGAAAAAAGAGACGAATTGGTTAGGTTACAGCTTCGGCTCGAAAGAAGATCTGATCTCACAAGTGAATCCCTTTCAAAAGCCAACAAAAACCAAGTTCTACTCTTGGTTTCCATAAGAACAGGTCTTGAAACCTTCTTATCTCCCCAATCCCGTCTCCCAACAAACGAACTTATTGAAATTTTTCTATCTGAAAGATGTAAGAACGTGAATTGCAAGCGGTTATTACCCGTTGAAGACTGTGAATGCAAGATTTGCTCAACAAAGAAAGGATTCTGTAGCGAATGTATGTGTCCTGTTTGTCTAAACTTTGATTGTGCAAGTAATACGTGCAGTTGGGTGGGGTGTGATGTGTGTTCTCATTGGTGTCATGCGGCTTGTAGTCTTCAAAAAAATCTTATAAGGCCTGGAGCAAGCTTGAAAGGGCCCACAGGTACAACAGAGATGCAGTTTCATTGCCTTTGTTGTGGTCATGCTTCTGAAATGTTTGGGTTCATTAAGGATGTTTTCAAGTCGTGTGCACAACAATGGGGTTTGGAGACATTGATCAAAGAGCTTGATTGTGTTAGGAAAATCTTTAGGGGGAGTGGAGATTTCAAAGGGCAAAAGCTTCATTTGAAGGCTGGTGAGTTGATGTCCAAGCTTGAGAACAAAGTCATGTCCCCTTCAGATGTATGCGGTTTCATCCTTCAATTCTTTGACTGTAAGTCTCACAATCCATTAGTACTTATCACTTAATCAAGCATATTCTTATTTTGTTTTGCATTTTATAGCCCTAGATGCAGAAATCATGCCTGATTTTCCCATTTCCAATCCACCAATCCAAACCTCATACAACATGAACATGAACATGATGGGAATGGGATCATCAAGTAATCCTCACGATAACAACCATAAACCTCTGCCACACATGATGAATTCCAATTCCAATTCCAATAAAATAGTAATTGAAGACGAATGGTCGGTGAAATCGTCTAAAAAGGACAAGGACGCGTTTGACAGTGTGGAAAGCCTGGTGAGAATAAAAGAAGCGGAGGCTAGAATGTTCCAGAACAAAGCGGATGAAGCAAGAAGGGAATCCGAGGGGTATAAACGGATGATCAGGACAAAAATTGAGAAATTGGATGAAGAGTATACAGATAAAATAGGGAAATTGAATTTGGAGGAGATTGAAGAGCAAAGGAAGAAGAAAGCGGAAGAGGTTAAGGCGAAAGAGAAGGATCATCATGAGTATTATAAGATGAAGATGAGGATGCAAGCTGAGATTGCTGGCTTGTTGGAGAGAATGGAGAAGACTAAACAACAATGGGTCTGATCATTCACATCTTTTCACCTTCTTTGACAGTTTGTTGTTGTGTCTTCAAAATAGTGGCCATGATTCACCGTTGTAATGTATTTTTTGACTTTCCATTTTTTTTTCTTTTTTTTTTTTGGCATTGTGAATTGTGATGGGTGTGGTTGGGGTTGTTGTGGTAAATTTGTGATTCACCGTTTTGGTTTAATTGGTAGAATGATGATTATTGACATCTTTGGATATTGTGTTTTTTCTGATATTTTTGTTTTGCAATCGTATCATTTATTTATTATAATTATAATTATGTGTGTGGATTCTTTCAAAATAAAAGTGTGTATATGTTGCTGATTGCTGAAGGGTTTTTAAAATTTAACATCACTTTGTGGATATTAGATTGTTCTTGTTCGTCTTTGCTTTGCTGGTGGAACAATCCTATCCTATAATGAATCAACAACAATAAAAAAAACGCAAAAATATGTAATCAGTTTAGAATCCCATCTGAAAATTCTGCTCAACTCTATCACGTTTTATGTCCATAAACACGAGGGAAAAAGTATTAACAAAATATTATTTTTTGAAACTGAAACAGATCTCCCCATTTTCTTTTAATATAAAATTATCTTGAACATAATTAACTTTTTAATTAAGCTAATTATATAAAAAATTAAAAACCCAACATGTTATAATTTTTTATTTGATACTAATATTGTTATGTATACATAATTTAAAAATTAATCATTTCAAAGCTGATTCATAATATTTAATGCAAAGTCTTGTCATTCATGTAGTAAAAGTTCACTCTAAGTTTTTTATAGTTATCGCATGACAAATTCTGATTTAAAACCGGAAATTATTTGATACTAGTTTTCATTTCGAACGACCTTTAACAATGCACGACTCTATGAACAGATTTTTCATAGATTCGCAAGTATTAGGTTTTACTTTTGCACATTCATATAAGATGACTCGTAAATTTACAATGTTATTCACGTCTTCACCAACTTCGTTAGGCAAACAATGTTAGTTTCAATGTATTAAAAATTGGTTCCCAAGATAAGAACCTAGTGGTTGAAGTGAAGAATTTCATATTGTTCAAAATTTGACAGCTCGACACCTTCAAAATATTATTAGTGCTCTACGGTTTACCTCTCATGATGACTTTAGGATAGGGTTTGACACGGCTATCATTAAACGGTTATTAAAAATATATATAGCAATACATGCTCAAATTAGGAAGAACAAAAATAAATGAATGGTTTGTATAAATGGTTTAACTTGTTTAACTGGAGCATTTATAATATATATAAATGAGCTTTTAAATGTTGAAAATGCTTGAAAAGGTTTTCTTCCTATCATGAGAGCTTTTTCATCTAAAGTTTCTCAATCAAACTTGTAAGTGTAAAAACCGTTGGTTTTTTTTTGGCTCTTCTAGATCTTCAAACAATTGTTAACTGTTAAGTAACTTATACAAATAACAATAGCATATAACAAATTAGAATCTGTTGCTATTATAAATAAGTTGATGAAAAAGTTATATACTAGGCTACTATCGTGATTTTTTTTAGATTTTTGGATTGATGAGTTGGACACAAAAAAACTTGGTTAAAAAAGATTATATTATGGATGTTTTTAAATATTAACTAGTAAAGAGACACATGCGTTGCACGAATCAGATTTTTTTGTTGATGTTTGGTGGGTCAGGTACACGAAAATCCGACATGTTGTAGGGCAAAGAGTTAATTCGTGCAAAAGTGCATGATGATATTGGGAATAGAGTCATTGATGTTATTCCTAACAACATAATATGATGTGAACAACAATTTCGTAACATTATTCTTGGTAGCATTCAAAGAAAAGAATTGGCACTTATTTATAGGATATTGAAAGTTGATATAGCACCTAGCCAAAAGATATCATTAAAACGAATAACATTCAAAGAAAAGATGGAAAAATATATCAGGCTCCAAGAATGTTATATTACCAATTCAACAATTTCTGATTTCAAAATATGGATACAAACAGTTCAAATTAAATTCAAATTTCATTTGAACCAACCAAATTACAATTCGGTTTACAATATATAAGATATTACAATATTGTCTAATGTGACAAATAAATTCAAATCTCATTTGACAGCTTATGAATTGGCTAGTAGTGTATAATTAAATAAGGTAAAATAGTTACTTGAAAAAACAAATGTTGTATTATAGCACTCTACTTTTATTTCTGCTTGCTAAAATTGTGGAAAAATCATCGTATTGTCCTTTGAATTTTTATCTATTGTCGTAGGTTTACCCTTCAACTTACCTCGGCCAGCTTTTGCATTGAAGCAACTCAATCTTTGAGTGATGGATCATTCAGGTTACTATCTTCCCATAATTTTTTATCAACTGAGTATTTCTTTCCACCTACATAAAATAACATTGTATCTTTAAGTTAAGAATAATAAAGTCAAAAATATATTAAAAAATCTGCATAAAGGGTAATTTCAGTATTTTTTTCTGTATATGAAGTGTAATTTCTGTATCTTCAACATTAAAATGTTAAGTTCTATAATTTTATGCATTTAAATTATAATTTTGGTCATTTTATGCGTCTTTTTATGCGTGTAAAGTTTAATTTATGTAACTTTTTGTAGTAAAAGAGTTATGTATATAATTTTCTGCATTTATATGACAATTTTCTGTAACTTTCTGTATTTACAAAACACATTGCTAAATATAGTCAAGTTGGAAAATATTGCATAAATAGATAGTCAACCCTTGAAAAAAATGTGTAAGACTTCTAGACATGTCATTAGTTAAGGTTGAACTGCATAAACTATAAATTTATGTATTCATGCAATATTAAAGTATATTGCTAAATATAGTCAAGTTGGAAAATATTGCATAAATAGATAGTCTGTAACACCCAAAAAATTCAAGCCAATTTAAACTTTTAAAAACATTGCAAATCCATTAACTATTACAAAACTTGTTTTCAAAATATATCATATCAGAGTATCCCAGAAACAAAGTCATAAAAAGTGAGTAGCTGTATGATCACGCCTTTGCCTTGCCACGATCCCCTGATGTACCTGAAACAATAAACTGAAACTGTAAGCCCGAAAGCTTAGTGAGTTACCCCCAAAATACCGTTACACATACAGTCCACATAACCATGTCAGCAACATCATAACATAACAAACTGAACAGCATGTAACGGGTTCACAGCTTTACAGACTGGATTACCCCTGGTCCCACAATGTGAGTCTGGATTGCCTTCCGGGCCCACAGCTCACATCTGCATTGCCATCGAGCCCACAGTACGAGTCTCCCTTAGCCCGTATCTGGAATGCTCCTAGGGTTTGTTGGTTACCGCACGGAACAGTACAACCTCAACCCATCCCACATAGCATATAAATCATATAACATAACTACTGAGCATGCAATAACCATATAACATCATCGGTAGTCCTACAGATCTACCTAACTGGCATAACCACTAGCATGCAACACTAACTCATAAAGCATGCAATAATCATATAACATCACGGTAGTCCTACAGATCTACCTAACTGGCATAACCACTAGCATGCAACACTAACTCATAATCAACATAACCACTGCTAGGATAACATATCCAATGGGACAGCCTTGGTGCCTTAGACCCCTTAGTATAGTGAGGATAACTCACATCACAATGTCGTACTGAAAATGATAGGCTCAAACTCTCGAATCACCAACACGAACTCCACCACCTATAGTCACCATAAAACCCTTTTTCCATAAATTTCCAAATTACCAAAATGCCCCCAAAGGTCAACTGGTCAACCCTTGGTCAAAGTCAAAGTCAACAGTCCATGTTGACTCGACTCGTCGAGTGCAGTTCACCGACTCGTCGAGTCCTTCCTGAACTCGAGAAGTCGTGAAATCCTTGGTTGACTCGTCGAGTTTCCCTATATCTCGCCGAGTTCATGCGTGTCCAAAGGTTGGGAAAACCCCCGCTGACTCGCCGAGTCACTCGACTGACTCGCCGAGCCCATCACAACCTTCATCGGACTCGCCGAGTCGTTCATACAACTCGCCGAGTCTACGACAATCTTCATTGGACTCGCCGAGTCGTTCATACAACTCGCCGAGTCTCTTCAGTCCTTTATTCATACAGACAATCTTAAGCCATGCTAAGGCTCTAAATTGTAGATCCAGCTTCCCAATGCATGTTTATCACGTAAAGTTGCAAACTTTATGTGCATGCATGGCTCTAAAGGCTCTTAATGACGAATCCAAGCGTACAATGGAGTTTTACACTCAAGGAATGCTTCAAACATGACCAAGCTCGAAACTTTATGAACCTAGAACCCAAGAAGGGTCCAGATCTGAAGTTGCAACTTCAGATCTGGCTCATACACCACAATATCATCATAACCAAGCCAAAACAACCCTAAACCTCACCCAAATGAGATCTAGAAAGAAATGAGGTAAAGGTGATGACTTGATACCTTCAAATGATGCTAACTGAGGTAGATTTCTGATCCCCCACACTTTCCTTGCTTCTAGCCTCTTGTCCTCCAAGTTCTTCTTTCAAAGATCCACTTTCCAAAGCTTAAACACACAAGAATGAAGCACCACACGGATTAGGGTGTTCTAGACTCTCAAGGGACTGTAAAGAGGCTGAAGGAGGCTTATGATTCTTTAAATAGGGTGCAAAACCCCGAGATTTAGGGTTTCATCTGCCAGCTCCTACTCGTCGAGTCCCTTCTTGGACTCGGCGAGTAGGTCACTAAACTACGTGGACCAACCCGCTGCTACTCAACGAGTAGGGCGACTAACTCGTCGAGTAGATCTTGGAATCACCGAAATTATTATTTAAATCAACACCTGAGAATCGGGGCGTTACAATTCTCCCCCACTTGAACTAGACTTCGTCCTCGAAGTCTGCCACGGCGAACAGTTCCGGATGGTGCTCCCGCATCTCTGTCTCTGGCTCCCACGTCCACTCGGACCCCCTACAATGCTCCCATTGTACCTTCACCAAGGGTATCTCCTTGTTCCTCAAAACTTTCGTCTTCCTTTCCAGTATGTCCACAGGCCTCTCCATATAATTCAACATTTATCAACCTGAATATCATCCAGTGATACCACTGCCTCCTGATCCATAATG